AATCTATTCTAACAGAATTGTAGCTTAAACTAAAAGCAACAAATTTGTAAGACAGATTTTTTTTAAAGTTATTTGTTATTGAGTTATAAGCCTTTTTATATTTTTATATGTAAAAAGTAGATATTTTTAGCTGTCCAGTACTGTAAAAAAAATTTTTTATCAGTTGTGTAATGATCGTGTAACTTAGATAAATATTTCCATATTTGGGATGGTCTTACCTGTAACCACGAAACTGTAATTGAACTCTAATTAATTAGATAAAGTCAAGTTTAGTAGATGGTGCACAATCTCTAAATCCAAGTGAGAAGTTTATACAGTCACGTAAACCGTCATGTAAAGCCAAAATATTACATAGCGCTCAAGTGGGTTTGGTTATGTACAGTGTTCTATTTCATTTAAAAAGTATAATTTCACTAACTCAAGAATATATTGACCTTTGAGTTTAAGTAGGATTCAGATAATAGAGATTATGTAAGTTGTAGCCAATATAATATATTTATTGCTTATTGTAACTCAAAAAACAACATAAGAATAGGCATGTAGAGTAAGAACTTCATTTGATGATTGCATTAAAGAATTTCAATTTAAAGCTAAATTCTTAATGTTCAAAATATCAATGAAAGAGATTTGACCCAATGTTTTTAGCAATGTTGTTAGACGGTATTGCACTTATCGCATAAGTGCATATGCAAGACCCCATATATTAGACCCACTTTTATTTTTTACTAATTTTTTTTTTAAATTTTTTTGGTGGTATGTAAGAGACTCGGGTTTTGTATATGCACTTTTATAAGCCTTTACCTGATATGCAAAAATTTTTTTATTAATTTTATTCTTTTATTTTAAATGTTTGAGTTATATTTCATTTAGTTTAGTTGATAATAATCTTAAATATATGGTCTAACTCAAAACATAACTATTAATGAATTATTAGAGTGGTTTGTCTCAGAAGTGTTAAATAAACAACTGTATATAATTGCAGCAAGTATTTATGGTTTAGTATTACAATAAAACTTCTATAAGTGCATGCTCTTGAGACTAATCTTTAACAATATGCACTCAGAGATCTATAAGAGAAAGTGCATTTATAGGGTATATATATATTTGGGCCAGAACTTGAGTATGTATTTAGAGAGAGTGTGCACTTATGGAGGTTTTACTGGTTAACTCAAACTCTACGTGATGTTAATGACTTGTAGGGAAATAACTTTTGAGAAATTGAGCGATAACCAGAATTAAATAGTGATACGAGAAAACCAGAGATCTAAGAATTATTTCTTTGTAAAATTAAAATTTCACAAGTATTTCTATTTTTAAGTTTATCTTATTATAATGATCAAACCAATTATAATTTCAATATGGCCAATTGTAAAATTTTTAATTTAATGAATTTGCTAATAAACTCAATTAATTAAATATATATAATTATAACTAGATTTAACTTTTTTTATTGAATTTAATTATCAAGTTTACATTCTAAAAAGATATTAAATGAGACAAATCATTCTGGCAGAGCGTTATTGGTTCGAAAGACATAAATGCTGCAAGAGAAAAACCAGAATACTTATTAAATAAAAATTTGGTCTTTTTCTTCTGCAGCACTTATACAATAATCTAATATAACATACTTTTTTTTTTTTAAAGCAATTGATTCTGTTATAATGGTACTTGAAACATTTTAATCCTATTCGGAGCAAAATAAACAGGATTTAATATGAATAAAATTTGATGCCAATAAGTGAATAGTAAATTCTTGATCTTAGAATCTCTGTGAATTACTAATTAAAATTTAAAATTAGTAATACAGTAAAATCATCCCGTAATTTGCTATAACTATAGCCAAGTAATATAGTAAATTATAGCTATAATCAGTATTAAGCTTGCTTATAAGTCCAGTAAAATTGAACTAAAACTGGACTTATAGATCTAGTGGTCAGTTTATAAGCCCAGTAGTCTAGTTTATAAGTCTAGTAAAACAAACTTTTGGTCTAGAGCCTAACATTGGATATAATGCTATAAGTTATTATACTATTTACTATAGTTATGGCAAGTTATGGCAATATGATAACTATTATTAGGACAATTCTACTGCATCACTAGTATAGATGCATCTTCTTGCTTTTATTAAAACACCCAATAATTTAATCAGATCCTATGATTGTAATCGCAATTCCAAGATATATATAATACAAAAAAATTTGTTTACTGCAATTGCTCTGCTTACTAATTGACTTATAGTGTTATAGATACAGGATTTCCGTTGACTGGGGGTGGATGCTAAAAGGCAACCAAAAATTAGATAATAGAGGTGGAACTAGAATAAAAAAAAATATAAAAGCTATGTTAGAGTGTTTTTTTTTAAACGGAAATCGAAGAAATGAGGATAGAATAAATACAGAAGAAGCTCATGAAATTTGCTAAAGGTGGTGAGATAGAAAAAGAAAACGTTCCAAAAACTTCTATGATAAAAAATTGGGTAAGTTCATATGCTCGTATGTTTAAGCAAAAAGCAACAGAACAGTTAGCAAAAGATAATATTCACCTATAATATTCTACAAATTTGTAATAATAAATTTTGCCTTCAGCAAATTGTTATCTAAATACCCTTTTTTTGACTATAAAAATTTTGGTTTCATAAGTAAAAAATTTCATGTAAATTTTAAAATTCACTCGTATTTGGAA